CCCCCCCCCCCCCACCACCTCCCGGTATACAAGCATGAGCTCCAGTTGATCTCGCCCACCCACAGACTGCAACTATTCCTCAAGGAACCCATTAGCCCGGCATCCGGAATGGGCAGAAATAGAAACCGCACGTCCGGGCGTGTGGGAGGGAGAGAGACAAAGAGGAATGGAGCCCTGTACTGTATGCGGCGGCAGGGACTCGGAAAATAAATGAGAAGGAGAGAAAAAAAAATCAAGAAACGCACAAAAAAAAGAGCAAACAGAGCCCGTAGCTCCGCTTTATGAAAACGCCAGAAGGAAATGAGCTAATCAAAGCCCTTTTGCGTTCGCCTTTTTGAAATATCATTGATCTTCTGCATACGGCGCAGGCCGCGCGCCCCTGTGCGAGCGGCGGCGCGCACGGGGGCCCAGGGCAGGAGAGCGGCCTCGGCCGGTGGCGGTGGCGGGGAGGGGCGTGTGCACGTTTGTGCGCGCTCACGGGCCACTCCAGTCGTCATCTTCGAGCTGCCAAGTCAGTCGCAAACGTTGATCTTTGAGCATTTCCGTGTGAATGACGGATTCAAGGAGTCTGATATTATGTTACACCTTGCAATATGTAATATGACAAAAACCCATCTATTTATAATGAATCGGTTATTTATAGTGGGTAAATATCACATAAACGAGACAAAATAGTCTAATGTGACTCCCCTCTTTAATGATTATAACGTGGAAATGCAGTATTACTTAAACTCCATTAAAACATGAAAAGTAACAAAAAAACACAACTGACGTACTGTGCAAACATAACTTATTGTGTTCGTTTGCAATTATATCTTCTGCTCTTTTATTGGTTCATTTATATTTTTTTCTGGGCTCCTCTTCTCCCGTGTTCAATTCAAGTTTGAAATAAACTACCGGTTCATCCAAAACACGTCTCTGCACGCCGCTCACATTCATAACAAAAATCAGTCCTGGACAGACTTTAATACTGTTCATTCAGAGGCGTTCCGTTTCCGGAGTTTATAGCCTAATTTATCTGGCCTATGACGTATCGTTTTTTTAACGAGATGTATGATTTGTTTAATGTAATAATTATATATTGTCAGTTTTGCGCGGATACATGAAAACACTTTGTTTCCCACAGGGAATTATGGATGCCTGATACAGATACCAAACAACAAGGCGGAGAGACGAGACGATCAGTCCGTGTTTAGGAAAATGACGAGAACAGACGCACGGTCTCTGTCCTTTCTTCCCATTGAAGTGTCTCATGATTTCAAGAAGTAAACAAAAAGTCGTTCAACCGAGCAGGGGGCAATATTTCTGGTTTTGAGTGTTCTCGGGTGTGTGGGTGTGTTCGCACATCTGGAATGAGAGCCGTGACGTTTGTCTCCGTAGGCCTGTGTGTGTGTCTGTGTGCTTAAACAACTTGTGTAATGAAGGCGCTGATGTGTGTGGGCAGAGGAGGAAGTGTAGAATAAAGAAGATTATTTATGGAGGGTGGTGAAGTTGCCTCAGTCACGGGAGAGGATGGCAGAGGCTGAGCGGACTCCAGTGTCCTTAAAGCTACGCAGCAGTTGCGTGATCAGTTACACAGGCATTAGAAGCGTGCAGGTGTGTAACATGACAGTCCACCACGTTAAAGACGCGATCTTGAGCGCGCATTCACCCTCTCGCTTCATTTGACTCGGGATTGAGCGTGCGGTTTACGGCTGTCCAGTCTCGGCCCTGGATCCGAGTCTGCGGGGCTTCTGGGTTTCGCTAGACCGGGCGTTCCTGGAGGTGCTTTTACACAGAAACAACTCCGGATGGCTGGGAGCTGTGAAGCACCACGCAACGCAGGAAATGTGCAGTATTGTGAAAAACACGTTTTCACAATCCCCCAAATGCTGTTTTTACGGTAGGGGGAAATATTTAGGAGTTGCAACACCGCTCTGAAGCACACTCCAGGCCGGTGGTCCTCACTGGGGGTCATGTAGGACTTGTTCACCCCCCCCTAAAGCAGGGCTCCCCAGCCCTGTTCCGATGACCCACACACCTGCTGGTTCTCTTTCCAGCCGAGCCCTTAGTCACCCTATCAGACCGTTTATTGACTTAATAATAATAGTGGGATTAATTTGAACTGTTCGCTCCCAGCTCTTAAACATGTGGGAGCTTTAACCGGTGTATTTTGCACACACAACAAAGAAAGTAAATCCCAAACCTGTGACTAGAAACAAAACGCAACCATTCAATTGAAGCAGTGTCTTCGATCAGTGCAGGCTTCAATGACCTCACGAAGGTGGGACAGGAGGGATTCTAGCAGCGTGGATGACCAGGAACCAGGACTGACTGGTTTATTACAGAAACCTTTTTTTTTTCAGATCTATTACACATTGAACAGTAGCTAAAACCACATGCAACTCCACCATTATACTACAGAGGATGATACAAAATAAGACCTTTCAGTGTGTGTATTGTAACTATATTAATTTCATTTTTTGCCCCATCAGTAAGCCACAGGTGTAAAGCAAGAGCTACTCCAGAGCTCAGACAAAAACTGGTCCAGTTAAGACAGTAATTTGCCGTTTTAGCTCGCTAGGATCTGAGAAATTAAAGACTCTACTGACACTGCTCCCGCAACATAGCCCATGTGCCCTCGCGGTGATTTTCACGGGCCACCCACTGTGAGACAATATCAGATTTTTTCAACTATCTCTTGCACTGAAAAAATGTTAATGTATAACGTAATCCCCGTTTATGTGTTTTTCTTGCGATTTAAGAGTTCCGTGGATCCAGTTTACTGACTATTACGTAACGGTCTGCCCCACCGCCCCTGCCTTCCAGATCCAGCAAGGTTGAGTGACGCTCAATCTGTTATTGTTGTTCCAGTTGACGAATCATCTAATTGGACCCGCCTCCCAGCAATTTACTTTCACAATGATTGGTCTGCCCTCAGTGCACTCTCCTATTCTCATTGGTCGATTTTGTGGAAAGCAGGGCAGGGTTCTGCTCTTTGATTTGTTGCAGCCGCGTTTCTCAAATCGGTTGCTAGGCGAAGGAGCCAGCAAGTGCTTGTGCGCGTTTGTCTGTCATGGCGGGAGAGATGAAATGGATGGAAGAATTTGATTTTAGAAGCGTGAAAACTGTGGCTGTCTTCCTCTGTTTCGTGTTGCTGTGCCTCCCGACCATTACCTCAGGTACGAAGCCACTAACGGTTCATATTTTTTTAAATTTAAATTTAAACTCAGGGCATGACAGGGGAGTTCCCGTTTGATTGTGAAACTCTGATATTGTAGGAAGTAATGAATATGGATGTCTCGTCCAAACCAAGTCTCTAGTTTTTGGAAAAGTTAAGGAATACGGTTAGAAAAAGAGCGGAGTTTATTGAAACTTATTAATTAAATTGATTAAATCCAAGTATTTAAAACCTGCCTATCTGGAAAAGTTGACGCTTTAGTTAGGCATTAATCTCGGACAGTTATCGATGAACGGTACCGTGGGTTTCAGGAAGTGCCGGCGCGTCTGCCCGTTCTCATTTCAAGGTAGCACTTAAAAGGCCTAAATTAGATCGCCAATGGCTTAATCGAACAGTTTACAGATATTTTCCAACTCTTCAGGCGCTGCTGTTTTAAAGAAACACAAAACCTTCAGATTTCCCGCAGGCCCGGAATTGATGGCTGTTAGTGTAAAAGGTGCTTAATGATGTTGGTGCTGCAATATGAAAGTATTACCTTAAGAAAACAAAATATGGAGGCATTGTGAAAAGATCCTTTTTTCAGTGCAGCGCCTTTCCTGTCTTTCCCCTGAGTTGTTACACTGCACAATTTAAAGAAGGCAATTCGGGTGTTGTTGTAAATCACGTTTTCCATGCTATCTGGTAAAGAAATGGGGAAAAATGAAAAAAAAAAACAGGATTACGGAAATTGCAGTATCACACAAAAAATGAAACGATTTTAGAATGTTGTTTTTAGTAGATGTGATAGTTAGCACGTGGTGTGGGCTTATCCTGGAGTCTACACCTTGTGCGATGGATGTATCATCTGTTTCCCTGAAATAGTGGTTTAAGTAAGTGTGTTCGACAAAGGTGACAAAGTAACAGGAATAGGTGCAGTTCGAAACTGAAGTCTGCGTGGTTAGTAAGTCCTTAAGCATGGAATTGGAAAACGCAGAAGTTCCCTTCGGCGGTTTTAAAAGGACACCAGCTTTTTAAATTGCTCTCCTGCCACTTTTCTGTTTTTGTATCTCGCAGGTGATGAGCTGCCCATCATCTCAATCAAGGATGGAGAGGCGCTCAAGAAGCTTAATCCTCAGCGCTTCTGTTACTACAACCACCTGCAGCCTGGCTGGAAGGAGACCTGGACTAGAATACAGGTAAGCTTTTGCACTGGTCACCTGTCGACATCTGTTTTACCCCGTGTAAGCTGGTAAAAAGATCTTAAAAGTTCCCCAACAGGCTGTGATGGGGGGGGGGGGATGGTGGACATGCCTGTTTTGTGCCCTTAAGTGATGGCCATGCCCCGTGGCATCACACCCTGGAATTCATTTTGTGCTGTTTCTTGATTGCAATGTACTGTGTTTCTTAGTTGCTTTCTGTGTTAACCAGTTTCATCAGAGCGAAACGAAAACCAGATTTTGATCCGGTCTATTTGCACGATACTTGTTCCTCTGGAAACGTGGCGTTGCTCTTGGTGGCAGATCCAGGTGCGGAGCTCCAGTCGGCTCAAGGTGACAGTGGCGCAGGACGAGCAGGAGCTGAAGGAGCTGGAGCAGCTCACCCTCTGGAGCCTCTTCCAGTACATCCTGAAGGAGGGCTCCAACGAGACCAGCATTGCCGTCAGCCTGTTCCGGAACAAGACCTGCTTCCGAGTGGACCCGACCGACACCAGCACCGGCTATGTTGTGCAGCTCACTCGCAGTAAGAGCCCCGGCGCGTACAGAGAGAGGCTGAGCTCGGGTCCCGTTATTAGCCTTTTTACCCATAGCAGGTGATATGCTTAATTCAACAGGGCTGTTGTCGTGAATGAATGCCAGAATCACATAAGTAAGGCTCCACAGACTTGTCCAGCAGCCCGATCCTTGACTGATTTTACAAGCATCTCCCAGTGCTTTATATATTAATATAAAAATCAACACATTGCACTGACAGTAAGCCACAGTGTTTCTCCATTTCATCAGTACAGCCCTGGTGAGTACCTGGCAGACCTTGACACAGATCAGCAGGGGGAGTCTTGTTTCTCCATATGCTTATAGGCGTTATAAAAAAGTTGAGGAAGCTTCTTACCTACTACATCTGTTAACTACAACAGTAGCCCGAGACAAGGAATTTTCATCCTTTCGGCGCTGTAAAGATCAGAATGACATTTGTCGGTACAACTGGAAATGTGTGCTTAATGCGCTTTCATAAGACTGCACTGCAGCAACTGGAAGTGGGAGGATGGGCAGTTTTCTTTTTTGATTACATGTAGTTGGCAAAACTGCTCAGCACTTTACAAGTGTTTTGGGCACCTGCAGTGGTTTAAGTTGTAATTGTTTGTGTTTTATGTGAATTAATTTCCCGATCTTACAAATATCAAATTGCACGAACATTGAAATGCCTACCGTGCTCTGTAACGGGGCCATGCGTAGGCAACAGTAATCTTGAGAAGACGGACCTCCCAGCACCGCTGTGCAATCAGAAAATTCTAAGGATGCTTTTTTCCCCCCCAGGATTTGACATTTGCCTGTTCATGGTCTTCCTGGCTGGTTTATTCCTGTTTTTCTACGCAAATGCACTAAGCAGGTAATCCCATTCTATTTTCCATGCTGCCACGCGAAAGTCGAAGTGCCTTTCAAAGTCGTGGGTTGTTTCCTTGCACTGCTTTATTTTTAGTGACCTGATGGTTCTTATTTTGCCCTTGCTGAGGAGATGTGCCTCAGTGCAGCGTGCTGAGCTCTGCCCTGATCCCAGGGTCTCTGGGTCTTAGTTATCTTTGTAGCTATTAGGATGGACTCGGGCACATTGTTATGAGTTTGATCCATTTCAGGATTTCTGGGTCACAGGCCCTCGGTTAAGTGCAACCGAAGGTTGTTACTAAGGGATTGTTTTTATTTATCTTTTATATAACACCATGATGATCTCAAAATCATTGTAATCATAATACTTATGACCTCATGCCTTTACTTTCTCTGCAACCTAGTAGTAAGTCAAAGCACTGATGACCTTGCATCTAAAAATAAGTGTTTTAAACACAAACACTTCTTTAGTTAATAGCGTGTCCTTTTAATTCTGACTTAGCGGAAGGCAGATGGGTGAGGGACCCCTCTTCAGGAGACCAGGAAATGAATCAGAGTCTGGGCTACAGAGGAGAAGCGATCATCAGGTTTTTATTTCAGCCGAAGTTATGGCACAATAGCATGAGAGGAAGAAAACGTTTTTTTTTCTTTTCCGTCAGTTTCCCCTGGCTGAGCAGTCTCTATAGCCAGAATTGTAAATTACAATTCTCATTTCCACACCAACACCCCCCACCACCCCCCTCTCCAGCAGCTGGATGACTTTCCATTCTTGCCTTTCCCTTATCAAAAACATTTTGGTTGCCTGAACTCTGTGTGTTTCATATCGGAATTACAAGGACATATTGTTAACAAAAGATGCATTTAATAAACAGCCTTTTAACGATGCAAGGTTATGGGTGCTTTGAATCTCTACTAGGATGCACAGAAAGTACAGGCAGAAGGTTACAAGTGTAATGGTCACAATGATATTGAGATTATACATATTTTATATGACACCATGATAAAAACAGACCTTCGTTATATTATTCCAAGTAAATGGGTGAAGACAAGTGAGCACAGATATGTTCTTGAATCCAGATTACAGTAGAATGTGTAGAAGAGTTGGGTCCCAATGAGACGCACCCAGGGTCTCATTTCAGTTCCTAGATGACTCTGATGGTGATTTTTACATTTTCTTGCAGGAGTCAGGTTTTCTTCTACTCTGCAGGCATGAGTACTGGGTTGATCGCTTCCCTCATTATTCTGATCTTCATTGTGGCCAGGTTCTTACCAAAGGTAAGTTCCCTGGGGAGGACAAGCTTGTCTCTAGCCATGGCCCAGTACCTGGAGGGCACTATTTATACTTGTACTCAGTCCTGCCAGGTGTTTACTGTACATTTACCTTGTACTATATGGGATGAAAAACATTTTGGTACCAATGTAGACAATTCTTTTATTTTTCCCTTGTCTTTGCTGCCTCTCTCCCCAGAAAAGTCCCTTTTTTGTGCTGATATTTGGAGGCTGGTCCTTCTCCCTCTACCTCATCCAGATGGTGTTCAGGAACCTGCAGGTCATCCTCCGTGAGCACTGGCACTATGCTGTTGGTGAGCTCTTCCTTGCTGCAAGCGGACTGCTGTGTCTCTGAACACAGTCTTCCATGCTGACACAGTTGCTCCAGGAGCCAGGTGACCTCTGTGTCTCTCTGTTGTCCTTGACTAGTAAAATTAAAACTTCATTGTAGTTGGGAAACATGCAGTGGTCCTTCTGCTTTGATCCTGGGTACCCCCGATTCTTCCAGTTTTGTAGATGACTTCATTTAGTGGCTAAACATGATAATCTCAACCACTCAGTCCTATAGTTTTAGCAAGAGTGTTTTGAGAAAAGATCAGAAAGTCCTGTGGCATTTCTGGACTAGTGTCAAAGACTTTGTGTTGGGGAAATTTCTGTGTGAATGTGCTTGGTAAATGAGTTGCCACTGTTGTCTATGCCTGATGTGGAGTGTTGCTGTTTTTCAGGCTACGTGTCAGTAGTGGGGTTCATCAGCTTTGCCGTGTGCTACCGGCACGGCCCCCTGGTGGAGGAACGCAGCATTAACATCCTGTCCTGGACACTGCAGCTGCTTGGCTTGTTCCTGGTGTACGTTGGCATCCAGGTCCAGCAGGTGGCGCTGGCACTCATCATTGCTGCCTTCTGTTCCAAGAATCTCGAGTACCCAGTCCGCTTGGGCGTGGCCTTGTGCAGGTATGACCATTCTCCTCAAGTGCTCCTGCAGAAAGAGCCTGCTGCTATGAATGGCATGGGACCTGGGACCTTTATATAGCTCTTGTAAATCTGTCCCAAAAATCCAGGAAAATTTGTTCTTTTGCTCCTCCCTAGACCTTGTATTTTGTCAATTTATTTGCATTAAGATACAAAGCTTGACATTGCAGGCTAGTGTTACTACTATATGTGACTTGCATAGGCCCACTGCTCTTAAAACAATTCTGAATTCTTCACATCACCTTGCCTGGTGGCCTCAGGGGGTTTCCTGAGCTTTTTGCATGTGAGGTGAGCCATCCTCAACAGTTCATCTCCAGCAGCTCATCACAGGCAAACTGTCTGAAGTGAAAGTCTGTCCCTAGTGGTGGTGAATGGGGACAACGATTGTGTACTGTGGACAAGATGCATGTTGCATACAATATGCTGTTTTCCCCAAGCAGGAGAGCAATTTCTCAGTATTGGAGTGAGTCTGCCGGCATCTCACTGCGAGTCTTCGGAAAGTGTTTATCCATGAAAAACGAAGCACTTTTTGCCTAGACAACCAGTATATATCGTCAAGATACTCCAACTGCTTTCATTTTCAATAACTCATTTTGTTTACAGCATCTTTTGTTATTATTCAGTTATTTTACAGCAGTTTAATGAATTAGGACAAAGGTTGCAGTGCAGAAAAACAGTTCACAGCAAACACGGAGTATGTTGTATGTTCTCTAGTTGGCCGTATTTAACACCAGTTTAATTATGTGGTTTTGCTAACCTGTGCATGAAATGCCTTCAGTTGCTTGTCAGTTTCACCATGTTGTACATGGTGTGGATATGGAACTGCAGTACTTGTCCTTGTTTTTTGAGGGCCTGGAGAAGAATTTGTCAGAGAGGCAGAGACATACGATTTGCTGCTCCCAGGTGACAAATCACTGACGATGAGCTGCTGGTGTCAGCCGTGAATTGTTGGTGATCAGTCGTCATTGATCACTAGGGCTTTGCATTTTCGATCGTCATTAAGGAAAAATAAACCCACCTGCCTGTCATTGCTTTTTGTGGCAGTTTTTTTT